GGATCAACAACATGTCGCCAAATACTTCTTGCATAGTCGTTGCCATTTTACGTTGTTGGGGTAAAGTACAATTATCCTCAATAGATAAAATAACAGGATATCTATCAACATATTGATAGAGAATAATAGCCATATAAAAATAATTGCAAAGTTGACTTATTTTTTTTTCTTTTTCATTCTTTCTTTCTTTTTTTAACTTACTCGGATGTAGCAAAAGCATGTTCCTTGATAGTTTTAATAACATCCAGGAATTTGATTTTGGTAGTAAGAGTATGTCCATGAAATATAAATGGCATTCCATCTGGACCATCCCAACAATCGAGTTCTATACATCTGCATCCTGCTCTTAATGCACGTACATAGGCCTGACAGCTACTTTCACTGCTAATCTGATCTCCCATCAAATATCTATAAAATCGCATATAGTTAGGATATGATAGAGTATAACCTTTATTTTTTTAAAAATTACATACGTGTTGTGTGATGACGCTATCCAATAATGTGCAAGAGGTCGAGTCATATCTTGGGAAACTTGATTAAATTTTTGATTCCAAATGTCATTATGTTTAGAAAATAAAAAGTCTATAAATTCTGAGAAGGTAAAATATGGCTCTTGTATGTCTCTTTGAGGATCTTGTAAATAATCTCTAATAAAACGTGATAGTTCCAATTCATTATTCCCTAAACTATCTTGCTGTTCAGTTACTAGAAAGTTCTGGAATTCTTGGAGTGTAACAGTCTGTCCAGTTTTGGAATAATTTAACAATTTATGCCAATCTGCAAGATTCTGAAAATATTACACCAATTTGTGCATAGATAGATAAAATGACACTTGTAATCTTTAGATTAGACATAACACTTACATTCTGATCAAACATTAGTTTATGATATAAGATGACAAAATCATCAAAACCAAGCTCGTTTCGATTTCTCGTATCTACTTCTTGAAACAATTCTCTGAGCCTATTTGTAGCAATTTTACAGTTAACTCTAGGTAAAAATGCTTTCACATCTTTCAATGTAACCCTGCCATAAAAATAAAAATTTATAAAAAAGAATCATTAAAATAACAATCTTAATGACATATAAATGTGATACACAAAAATATAGATACATAAAGATGCATGTAGATATATGAATATATAGATAAGTTGTAAATATATATATTATATTGTAAATATTCGCTCACTTCTTCATTTCTTCACTCACATGAACACATGCATATTCATGCCTATTCATGCATTGTAAGTATATGCATGTATATATTTTTATACATATAATGCAACATATATATATATATATATATATATATATATAAAGTAAATAAACTTTTGCATATTAAGAAAGGAATCTTACGTTTCACGAGAATTTTCCATTGCGTAAAACTCTTTTCTAAGCCATCTTTCAACTTGCAATGGATATGGTGCATTTATAGTGTCTTGTACTAAGTGACGTAATCCTTTAACCCATAATTCACATTCTTTCTCACTAAGAGCTAAAATAAACAGAGATAGTTACAATAGTCTATAACAAAAATTATAATGCAGCGACAAATTCATATATATCATATTTACCAGATATAGAAAGAGTTTTCAGTCTGAATTCTGATCCATAATATACTACAAAGCATCTCAAATTTTCGATTCTTTTAGCATCTTCAGGCCATTTTTCAAAGTCTTTAGATTGTTTTCCTATCCTAATTTCTTTGACTTCTCTTATTTCCACTGTAAAGAAATATAATATCTAAGATCAATGCATGTTTCAAATATCATATATATAATATGTACAACTCATAATTAGGTTTATTCATATTTATTACATATAATATATGTGCATGCATATATATTACATATAATATATGTGCATATATAAAAGACATTCATAACATGTATATCTAAATATTGCTCCAATACTATTCATGTCTGACTATATGCTATGCATTTACATTATAAATCTATAATATTGGATGCCTTATATGCCTATAAAAATATTGGATAAATTTTAGATTTGTAAATATATATTTGCAATATTATACCTGAACCATCAAAAGGTCTAAAACTTGCACTTCTCGACCAAACAATCTGTCTAGTTTCTCTCCTTATCATAAGAGTTTTCTTTTCTGGTCGTTTTCTTGGAAAAAACTTGGTTACTACAGTGCCTCTTTCAAGTTGACTAATAATCTGTTCCATTTCAGGAATAATTCCATTCATTTTGAAAGCGTTGTATATTCACACTGTAAAAGCAATATAAATTCAATAGGAAATAATATAAATTGTGTATTGCTCACAACCTTCAGACGGATTGTTAATCTGTAAACAAAAATATATTTTATAACATATTTTAGCCTGAACAAAAAAATATCGCACATATTTATACAAAATAGGTATATCAATGATGTAGTTTTCAGAATTTATAAAATTCTTTATTGTACAAAATATTGAATAACAGAAATTTTATTAGAAATGGCAGTTTTCTCATCTTGTAAACTATATCATATAGATAAATAATAATACAAAGTGTCGATGTGTGATATAAGAGAGACAAATCTCTCTCTTTATGGTGCTTTCCAAAAATATGAATATATCAGTATTAACTTAATTAAATATTATATTTTTTATCGTGCCATATGCATCATACACGTTTGCAGCATATAGTTGTAAATATCAATTGTAGATACTACTTATAATTATTTATAATTATGATATAACTAAAAGGAAAATTTATATATTACGTATTATCACGTTTTGTCTCTTTTCCTCTAATCAATTCAAATATCTTGTCGTAATCTTCACAAAGTAAACATAACCTAAGCAATTTTTCTCAGATCATCTTTGTGCGAAAAAATGTCTTCATAGCGTAGATATAAAATGATTACAATTCTAATTGATATACACAACGATACAGACAGTGATAAGTACACATATTCTAAAATGTTTTTTTAATTCTTCGAAAGGGACAGTTTAAAAAAAAATTGCAAAGCAAACACATCGTGCCATATCATATCGCGAATCATCTCTCACCGCGCGCATGATAATTTCTACACTTTTATCACGATGCTTATAACGTACTTAAAGATGTGTCATACCTTGTCTCTGAAATGACACGCTGTTGATTATGCGGAAAAAAAAATACGTTTTACTTATCATGTGTAGGTATCGTAATTCGCGTTTACATGAATTGAAGACTTCCGACTGTTTCCGGCGCGAGAGAAGCCATTACGTTTCATGCAGTCTTATACATATGGCATGGCATTATACATACATTTCTGCATCCAATGAACAAATTTTCGTGTGGACTTTTATCACATCAGGTATTTAAGCTTAATTCTAAGACCTCAATATTATTTCTTTATGTAATCTTCTAGTTTTGCAATACTAGTTAAATACACGCTGCAAAATTTTGATATAAAGTAAATATTTAACAACTCTGCGAACAAAGCGATTTAACAACTCTGAATACCATATTAAAGTAAAAAAGATTTAAATTTAAAAAAATATTTCTTCTTAACATGAATTCTCTATGGTAAATATGTTTTAATGCATAAACATTAAGAAGGAATTTAGGAAGGATTTTCGAACCTATAAAATTAATATATAAAAAAGTTGACACATAAAATATTGCATTCTGTCGATAATATAAACGAGTTCAGCATCTTCTTAACAAAATCTGTGTTCGTAATATGAATGCCCCTTAAAATTTACTTGAGGGGCTTTATCATAATGATTGATAATTTTTCGTTCTACATCTCTGGCTTCATCCTCCACTCGCTTATGTTATATTCGAATGATTCAGGTTCTCAAAGGTATTTTTATATCCATATTATCAATAAAAAAAGGAATATATCCATGTCATCTCTCGTCATTTCGTCACTGCTGATAATTCTTCAGCTTTTTGGCCTTTGTTAACATGTATGGATGACTATGGATGAGATCTACAGCGATTATCAAATTGATGAGTAATTCAAGTTTCAATCTAGATCCGCTTTGATTTTGATCAATATTCAAATTTTATTGTATCCAAATTTTCATTCCTCTTTTAATATATGACAAAGAATGATTCGAAACTCTTTTCTTACAGCATATTACAGATATCGCAGTAATATTGCTGCAATATAGCTGCAAGTTCTGTGCTATATGGAAGATATATATAGAAAGAATTTCCAAATCTATAAAATTTATATATATATATATATATATATATATATATATTTATATAGTATATATATATATATATAAATTTTATATATACATATATATGTGTGTGTGTGTGTATACACATGCACGTAATATACATCATATAGATTTACGAATAAAGATAATGGACTTCATGTACTATCATTTTAAGTATTACTATTATTAATTTTATTTTATGGACTACCAGGACTTACGTGGATAAAAATAAATATCTCCAAAGCAGATGTAATACATCGTTCCACAAGCTCCTTCCGCGTAGACATGTACGTGTAGGTGTATTTGTGCGTATTTATCCAAGTATTCTCCAAAGAAAACTCAATGTATAAACATGTTTCTACTCTCTTCTCTTTTTTATTTTTCTATGAACAGATAACGAAAAAATACAGATTTTGTTGCAACTGAAATTAGCAATTAGACAATGAATAAAAGTGTTTACCAAAATCTTCCTTTATAAAATTTCCTTTATAATGTTTGTCTTGTAATTATTCCAGTTATGGGGAAAAAACAACTTCATTTTATTAGACGATTTTTCTGTTAATAACTCGAAGCTTATATTACATTACGTAAAACATAAAACTGATGGATACATATTTCACCATAGTGAAATACAATTGTATTTGTTTACTTAATTTCAACAATTTTATATATATATATATATATGTACATACAATTTTATCAAAACATAATACGCTATACAGATGCATACCGTTAGAGATAATAAATTTGTGATATGTAAGAGCTAAATAATTTTAAAACTAGATGCAAGACTAATTAATAGATCCTGATCATTGTGTGATTATTCCATAGACGCGAGTACTGTAAAGTACGACATCGAAGTTTGCACGACCTTAAAAATAGATCCTTAAAGTCATATCATTCGAGTCATCTCATATTACGAAGCTGGGCATATATATCGCTTCTTTACCGTAGTGAAATTCTCCAATGAGAAGATATAAATTTTGCAGGCGCTCAAAAAAATAGGTTGCAGGGTTTTTTGCATCACGAAGAGAAGCATCCTTTGTGATTTTGTGGGTGTTTCATACCAATGACTATTATAACTGCAATATTTCAGCGATGCGCTAATTTCATAAATTTCGTAATAAATTAATTGTTTTACGAAATCTTTTTATCTTACATTTTATCTCGCGTTTGAAGACTGTGATCTATTAGTTTTTGTCCCTCGAAACTGAGGCAGAATAGATGAATCAGTTGACTAAGGACATATACTACATACCTGATTATTACAAAAACATTGGCGTTTTGCTGCGTAATCTCCATGAGTATGAAAAGTTTAGTATAATATTTTAATTTCTTGCACGTGCGTCTTCTCACAATTTTATCAAATGTATCAAATGTATGATTATTTTAAATGTACGATTTTAATCGAGTAAAGAACATATATATGTTGAATAAAATAATGGAATTGGGATAAATCAACACGTACTTGTAACAAGGTAATGCTGATCATTACTGTGTTTAGTGCTATTTGCATAGCCAACGTTAATGAAAATGTTTCCTCGATCAGTTGAGCGAATCTGATAAGAGCCATTATATATACAACAATTAGGATCCCAAGTTTTTTCTTCCTTCCTTGCTTTCTACTTACTCTAATGCCTTTCGGTGCATGCATACAGAGAATGCGATTTGTTTTCGGTATGTGCCACTTGAATTACGAGAATGCAAAACCTTGATGGCATCATTACGTTTACGTATCAATCGTTCAAATCGAGATCTGTAATGTACTTGGAATGTCATTCACGTATCGTCAGTTTTGTTAACAATAACGATTTAATGTCATAAATAATTTTTACCCGACAAGAGCAAAAATACTGCAAACATGTTCAATGTAAGTTAGCAGCATGCAATCGTGAGCCACAATCCCGGTTATGGCAATTTCCCAGGCTACGATAGCGTGTACGAAGATATAGAAGAAATATTCTGTCTCATCAACAAAATAATATCCTGGATGGACTGGTAATATAGGACGAGATTCGTTGAGAGGTAATACAACATCTAATAGCTTCGGTATAAGCGACATACATAAAAACAGAAATGCGGATATAAAGCAATATACTGCAACAAACGAAATGATCGATTGAACAGTCGCATCGACAAAAACAGTGGAGATCAAAATCGGAAGGTAAAAATTACACGGTTTATCTCTTACACGAATAGCCCAGAGAATATCGCCTGCTAGTCTCGGCATATCTCTTCATGATTTCGCACTCTTCTGGAGTTTCCAATTCATCCCATCCGTCCAATAGCCAATCAATCAGAACTTTGATCTAGGATCACTCTCATTAATAATCTACTTAGCTTTTCTTAATTTATTTTATCAAAGTTAAAGCTTGAAACACGAGCTCTAAGCTTAAATATATAAAATCCAATGTAACATTGGCTAACGTACTTTACATTGGTTGAAGTAACACGTATACAGCTTTATTAACGTTATAATTGTCAACATGTGCGCTGTCATAGTTTGAAATATACATTGCGCATCTCCTTCACATATTACGAACTTTGCTATCTGAAAATATTTTTATTGCAGGAAAATTCCACTGACAACTCAACTCAATTTCAATTATCAATTACCTGTGGGATAATCATGGAAAATGTGCTGAAAGTTACGAGGATCAAACAAATTATTCTTGTTTTTCGTTTCTGATACGGCCATTGACCAGCCAACGATGTTATTTTTTTAACGACTCCGTAATAATTCGAGGTGGAATCCATAGCAGTGAAGGATATATATTCTTTCGTTTGTAGCTTCATCCAGTCAACTAACTCGACAATCGAAAATTTTATTCGAGTCCGGAAAATCCCCTTCGTACAGGAATATTTTAAGATCTTGAACGTATCACATGTTACAATATAATACAAGTGCTATATGCCTCTCTATAATGTTTTTGCATAACTAATCGCGATGTCTGCAAGACAATGAATGACACATTGCGTGTATACATGACTAGTATTTATTTCCATGACACTAAATATAATGTAAAGGGAAGCGAAACGTCATTGACAGATATCTGTTGTTTTCTAAGTTTCCTCTATGGAACGTATCGATCAGCACAAAGTTTTATTTCTTCGTTTAGCGGTTCTCTCTCTCTTCTCTCTTCCTCCCCTTTTCTTTCCATCTCTTTATATCATTTTTCTGTGTATCTCTGGAAATTGAATTTTCATTTGAAGATGCGAAAAATTAAATTCCTATTCTACGCAATGACATTTGAATATTTAGAGGTATACGAATTGAAAATATTATTACGTATACGATTAACTTTAACATATTAATATCGCAACAGAAAAATATATTTTTCAAAATTACATTTCGCTTTCGATAATAATGCCACAATTGAATCGCACAATTATCGGGATAAGCATTGGACAACTATTGAAAGGATGCGAGTACTGTACAGTAGGACATCGAGGTTTGTAGAACCTTTAATATAAAAAAGTCACGTGTTATTAAAGAAATTTTAAAGCAATGTTTGTTCATAGTAATTCTTCTTTTACTGTGGTGAAGCTCTCCAAAGAGAAAATGTAAACCTTGCCGGCGCTTAAGAAACTCAATCGAAGACTTTTCATCATGACCAGTACAATTAATTTTTGAGACTTCATGGATACTTCATACCAACAGCTGTTATATCTATGCAGTATTTCACACAAATATATAAAAATAATCGATCGAAAAATGTCATGTATGAATGATGGACGAATGATAGATTATCTTTTTAGAAAAAAATTAGCGTCTTACACTTTGTCCCGCATCTGAAGACTGTGATCTATCAGCTTTTGTCCTTCGAAACTGAGAAAGAACAAGTGTATCAATTCTCCAATGACGTACAACGCGTATCTCATCGTTTCTAAGATATTGCTGTTATCATTTCGCTGCATTATCTTCGGCACAGCAAAGAAAAGTAAAAAATATGATATAATTTTAATTCTGTTTTAAGTATTGTATTATATACATATAATCCATAATAAAAAAAATACATACTTGTAGCAACGTGATGCTCATTCCTATTGTTACTATCAGTATCTGCATCGCGAAAGGTACATTAAACGTATCTTCGAGAAGTTGCGCATACCTATGTGGAAAACGAAAAGATTTTAACGCTAAATTAAATCTTATTCTTTCCGGATTCCTTTATTTTTAAATGAAGACATCATATATTGCTACAATGTTATTTTCCTATTTCATTTTGTATTTTATAGGTTCACCTTAAAGCTTCTCGATGTGTATTCACAATGAACGCAACTCTTTTACGATATATATCATCCATATTTGTAGTTTTCACTTTATTATTGCAATCATTGAATAAGTGGTTGAGACGAAATCTGAGAGGAAATTCATATGTGTGTATGTTCGTGTGTGTGTGTGTGTGTGTGTGTGTGTGTGTGTGTGTGTGTGTGTGTGTGTGTGTGTGTATGTGTGTGTCCAGTTGATATATAATTTAAATATAAAATGATAAGAAGCATACATATATGCTTCGCATAATAAATTATCATTATAAATTACCCAACTACAGCAAACATACTGCAAACATGTTCCACATAAGTTACAAATATACAGTCATGGGCGACTATCCCGGATATAGCAATTTCCCAACATACGACAGCATGTGGAAAAATGTAAAAGAAATATTCTTTTTCGTCGACAAAGTAGTATCCTGGATATGTCAATAGAATAGGACGGGTTTTGTTGAGAGGCATTATAACGTCCAACAGTTGCGGTATGAGAGACATTGACAAAAATACACATAGAGCTACAAAGCAATATACTGCAAAAGAGGAAGAATAATCTTTTCGTCTAACAATTATTAAATTATTTTCATAGATAAAACGGGCAGAGATACATGGATGCAAATGAAGATTTCACAATTTATTCTTACATGAGTATCCCAAAGAATATAGTCTACCGTTCTTGGCATATCTGCTCATAATTTCATATTCTTCTGAAGTTTCTAATGCGTTCCAATCGACAAACAAATGATTGGTCAGATCTTTCATCTAAAAATGCGACAGCGATTAATACTGAGTATTTTTGTAGATCAATACGCTACGATAAGAAATCTCGAGATACTTGACAATAATTGAAAATTGTACAAAACGATTATAATATAAAATAGAAAAATTAGAAATTAGAAACAATCGATATGACCACAAAACAATGGCAAAGTTTCAAATCACGAGGCGGTATGATTTTTGAACAAATTGGTGGATTTTTTAACAAATTTTGACAATCAACATTGATTTCAGATTTTCTTTGTAATTGATCGTGAGGTGGTTTTCAGATTAATACATATCGATGTCCTTATTTCGTACACTATGTAAAATTTAGTATGAAGAAGTCGTTGTATATTATAGAATATAGATAACAAAAAAAAAGACTAAGAGAAAGAACAGATCACGGAGAAAAGCTTGCTCTTCCTTTTCGTTTTCAATCCACTATGCAATTGTCACGCAATTCCTGATGGGATTTGTTAATACGGGATTATACCAATGGTATACTAATCCCAAAATAATAATTCTAAAATTATAATTTAAAACGGCAAGACATAAATATCGCAAATGTGATCGAAATTATTTTTACCGATGTGCTTCTCAGAACATCTACAAGAAAAATAGGATAATAGCTTATCGATTGGACGTTTCTACGGTGCCTACATATCAAAAAATATTCTCGCAAGCAAAAATAAAGTATCCAATCCAATTTGTTCAAAAAAAACATCGACTCTTAAAGAAAATATATTGCAAATACACGATACTTTATAGCGATTAAGGTAACACGTATATAGTTTCACCAGACACATGGTTGCTAACATGAACGACGTCATAGTTTCAAAAATACATTGCAAATCTCCGTTACATATTACAAATCTAGCCATCTGTAAGAATTATTGCTCGAATTAAAAAATTCGAAATTTAAAAAATTCAAAAATTCTGTGTATATTACACCTTTTCATTAACGTGATCAGTTACGTTACCTGTGGGACATTCATGGAAAATATGCTCAGAGTTACCAAGATTACACAGAGCAGTCTGATTTTTAATCTTTGATAAGGCCATTGACCAGCCAATGATGACACCCTTTTAACAACATTATAATAATGATTCCATCCTCGGTACTCATATTCGGTATCCATAACTCGCGGATGATTTTACGTCTTCGACCTCATGTAAACGATTGATTTAAAATTTGTCTCTCAACTTTTGTTTTGCCCAAGTCCCCATTCATCGATATGAGAAATGGTCTGTAATCTCAAATGTGTCATACATAATATAAACGCTACCTGCTTGTAACGTTTTCGCATAACAGTTGCGATATGTTTCCGCTTAGTGAAAAAAGTGACACATAGCTCTTATAAGATATAGGCATAGCATTTACGTCCTTAATATTAATTTTAACATCGAGGGTGAATGTTGACAAGTATATCATTTTACAAACTCTCTCTGTACAGAATATCTCGACCGTATAATTATAGAATTTCCAGGAAAACTTAGTTTTATGATGATATTACTTATGTACTTTTTTTTCTAACAATTTACAAGACAATGTACGCAGACTTTATCATACTCAACTGCAATTCTGGACAATTGAAGAGAGGATCCGTTTCAAATTCTATTTTTGACATAACAAATTATTTTATCGAACGTTGCAAATAATAAAAAAAGAGACGAGGCAACTTTATACTTTCTTTGTGCTAACGAGTGAGTATGACTTGCACTTTGCAGTCTTATCACATAATTATTGTTTATAACTATTAAATTCTGTTTTCCATTACATAAGGATTACAATTTTTCCGAAATAAAATCTTACAATTGTAATGTAATAATTTTTATATGTTTTTTTCTTTGTTACACAAAACATTTCAGAGTTACGAATATTTTCCCAGGATGCAATTTTCGTTTGACTTTAAGTATTAATATATAGAGAAAAGCGAGTAATCGAAATTCATTATAAATGTTATTTATACGCAAATGGGTAATAAACTTTAACATCATAAAAATTATGATTTTGTGAATAGCCAGTCCAAGTAGAATTGATATCCGGACAATGACTGTTGCTTATTTATTCCAAAGACGCAAGTACGGTAAAGTATGACATTGAAGTTTGCACAATCTTGAAATACGCGTTATATTAAAAATGTTAAACTGTTATATTTTACGATTATAATACGATTGTAATACTTGTTATAATCTTTACCGTAGTGAAGTTCTCCATCGAAAAAATATAAATCTTGCCAGCGCTTAAGGAAATTGGTCGAAGACTCTTTTGCATTACGAACAGAAGCATCTTTTGCGATTTCGCGGGTGCTTCGTACCAAAGACTATTATAGCTGTAATATTCGAATGCAAATTAAATTCTGATAAAATAATTGTCATACAATTTTTCGTCTTACATTTTATCTCGAGTTTGTAGACTGTGATCTATCAGTTTTTGTCCTTCAAAACTGAGGCAAAATAGATGGATCAATTGACCAATGACATACATCGCGTATCTTATCACTTCTAAAATACCAGCTTCATTCTGCGTCATCTCCAGTACAAAAAATAATAATGTTTTAATTGCTCGCACATATCTTATGATTAATAGAAGATATATCATTATAAATCTTTTCTATCCTAAATATACGTAGATTGAATAAAATTGCAAAACTAACAAATACGTACTTGTAACAAAGTAATACTGATCATTATCGTATTTAGCATTATTTGTATAGCCAACGTTAACGAAAATGTATCTTCGATCAATTGAGCGAACCTACGGCAAAAACGACAATAAAACAAATCTAAATTCTCTCTTTCCCTCCCCCCCCCCTTCTCTCCTCTTCGTTTTATATTCACTTTAAAGCTTTTCGATGCGTGTATACGGAAAATGCAATTCGTTCATGATACGTATCACTTGCACGAGGATGTAAAACTTTAATAGTTTGATAGTCATTATATTTATTCGTTAATCGTTCAAAGCGAAATCTGCAAAGTTGCAATATTCGTGTAATGATGCACGCGTAACATTGTCAGCAATATCACATTAATTGTTCTTACCCGACCAGGGCGAAAATGCTGCAGACATGCTCAATGTAAGTTAGGAGCATGCAGTCGTGCGTGACTATCCCCGTCATAGCGATTTCCCAAGCCATGATAGCATGCGAGAAAATATAGAAAAAATATTTCCTCTCGTCAATAAAATAATATCCTGGATATGTTGGTAATATGGGGCGGGATTCGTTAAGAGGTAAGACGACATCCAACACTTGCGGTATGAGGGACAGGGACATAAATGTATACACAGCCATATAGCAATACACTGCAATACAGATGGAACGTTTAGCCAACGATCGATAAATTATAACTTTATGAACAAAACAGACACAGAGATAAATGAGAAGATGAAAATTGCATAGCTTATTCTTACCCGAGTATCCTAAAGAGTACCGTCTGCCATTTTTGGCATACTTCTTCATAATTTCGTATTCCTCTGGTGTTTGCAATTCGTCCCAGTCAACGAATAACTGATCAACAAGAACTTTTATCTATATAAATGTCAATGATTAACAATATACTTTTTCTCATTCTCTTCTATGGCCTAATCATTTCAATAATAGAACGTACGAACACACACACAGCACACACATGCACATATGCTAAAATTTGAAATATCGTAAAGTCGGCCGTGATATGAATGTTACAGAAAATAAATAATTTTACGTACTTTATATTGGTTAAAGTAACATGTATATAATTTCACCAGTGTTACAGTTGTCAACATGTAGGATGTCATAGTTTCAAAGATACATTGCAAATTTCCATTACATGTAACAAACTTGGCTATCTAAAAAAAATCAGGTATTTAAGAACTCGCCGCTCTAGTTTTATTTTTAGAGAAGTCGAGAGAGAAAGAAGGAGAGGAGAAAGAGAGAGAGAGAGAGAGAGAGAGAGAGAGAGAGAGAGATAC